AGGTTCTGTAATAAAAATTTTACTTAATTACCACCAAAAGCTTGTTTTTCATATATATCGACAGACTACATCCCTGTCATGCAGGAATTATTATTGTGTATAAGGTCATGGTGGTTTTTAAAAATCAGATTTTAGGTCAGTCATGTTTAAGAAGTGTTTCTGAAATTCATAATCTCCCAACCACAAAAATTGTACACTTTGTACTTGCTTCCCCCTTCTTCACATTCTTATTCTGAAGGTAAGTAATTTGATATAATATGCTTTAAACGAGGGATTCAAAACAATTTATAATCTATACCTAGGCAATTTTGTTCAAAGCACAGTGATTAAAGCAATGTCATTTGTTAGAAAGAAGGTTTTATTCATGAAAGTAACAACTGTTGTCACCAGTCTCTCTAGAATCCTTCTCTTAATGAGTTGATTCCAGGTGTCTTGCTGTATGGAGTAGTTTAAATAGTGTAAGTAAACATAAACTGCACAGTATCAATATTTAGGCAGCTGCTTGAATGACTATTTGTATAAATCATTATGTTTTTGTGGCAGTTGAGCCCTGATCTATGTCCCAACTGAGTTGCAGCTTTTTAACGTAATAACCTTTCACATGCACAGTAAAAATTGCAGTACAGCACACTATCTGTTTGCTATTTATTTCTGAAGTAACTCTGCAGTTCTTTTACTGCAGCAGGAAGTTTGTCTCAGTGAAAATCACACAACTGAGCTTCAGCACAAGGCAAAAATTGGAAAGCCATGTCTTCTAGCACCAGTTGACAACAAGCCTTGTACGGAGAGACCTGAAGCAGAGAAACTGCCAGAGATTTTAGACTTTAATGAGACTGCATGTCAGCATAGGTGTAGGAGACAGTTCAGAGATCTCTGCAGAACAAGGACCTAATGCAGCCTCAGGAAGGGAAGGGGCTGAAGAACTGCGTTAGGCAAACAGTGTGCTAAACACGTATGATATAAACACAAACCCCTTTCCCAGGCAAGGTTGCTTCATGTTGAAGACAACATCTGTTAGATTTTATGTGTGTCTTGACAATGAAAATGGTATTTGAAGTACAGTTATCCCTAATTTGCAGGATGTATATTATCAATCAGGATCACATTTTTTTTTTTTTTTTTTTTTTTTTTTTTTTTACCTGAAGTTTCATGAAAAGCACACTTAAATCTATCCCAACTCTGGGCCTTCAACAGTCCTTACATGGGAACTCTTGAGGTGAATTAAGTTTTCAAAACACACTCATGAATGTTCAGATATTCTTCCCTCTAGAACCCTCAACAAATATTTATGTTGAGAACCAATCTCCCACTACATCATTGTATTTCTGACCTAAACCTCAGGGCTGGATACAAACAGGTCTGCACGTGCACCACTAACATTGTTCTTCAGTTTCCAGTCACGCTCACCTTCCCAAAATTCCTTTAATTTCTTCTAGTTTTAGCTATTTTAGCTATTTTCTGTATTATCTATTACCTGTATTACGTTGTCTCTGCACAAACTCCAGAATGTCTAGACCAAAAATAACCATCTTTTCTGATGCAGTGAGCTTTCTCCTAAAAGCTTTGCATGCTCAGGTGCCGCAGGACACAGATGACAATTCTCTCTTGAGTACAGGGATGGGCAGCTACAGGAATGATGCAAAGGAGGAAAATTCTGATCGATTTTCCAGGGTCTCTCCACTTCCCTCTGAAGTGGGACTGGTCAGGCAGCTGAGACCAAAGAACAATCTCAAACCTGCTGGTGTCACAGTGGATTATGAAGTTAAAGTGTACCAAACAACCAGACATCCATAAGCAGCTTGAAGCACCAAAATTACCACTTGTGGACCCAAGAACAACATTTAATTGCACACAGTCCTCAGTCACAAAATAAGGCTGTTTCTTCTCCATCTTTCTGCTTTAATTGCCTGACCAACTTGTTACAGTTGAGTTCCTGGAGCTCTGTAGCTCATTGTACAGCAAAGTCACAGTACCTTTTCAAAAGTCAGTAAAGGACTAGCAGATGAAATAAATTGTAAAACTGGCATTTTAACAAACTGATTTTGCATTACTGTACATACAGCTAACTAGATTCACCTAAAAGAGTAAAAGCTAGATCATTTCAAAAACTATTTGGTCACTATAATGGATAGCAAATATCAGTTTGTTTATCAAGATGATGAAAAAGTAATAATGGATTTTTCAAGTGTGCTGGTAAGACTAATGTAGGTATATATGTAAAGATGCATGACTGGGAAGAACAGTTTTTTTTTAATTGAGGAAAATATTTTTGCTTAAAATAGGCAATTTTCTACATCATTAGAAATGAGCACTCGATTGTTAGTTTCCTTCATTAGTAAAGGAGGATAGCATTTCCACATTGCAATCTGAAAATTTACATGAAACAAATGGTTTAAACCCAGTCTAACATCATTCACATCAATGTTTTTCTTGGGTTTTAAGATATTTGAATACTAGGCTTTCTTTATAATTAGTGCAAGTTTAAAATACTCCATTTGAATTGCCTCTTGTGAACTACTGATTTCCTTGCTTGCTTTCTAAATAACCATCTACATTAACACAGATGTTCTTCTTAGTTTCTTGTGTTGCTACTGAATTGGCAAGATCAAAGAGCATTGGATAAATAAACAATATTCCTAATGTCTTTAGTAATTAAGCACTGCAATTATTACAGAAAGTATACCACCCTCTTTTAGTTCACCTCCCAGACAAATGTTCCATTAGAAATGATAGCTCTTGCTGTTTTCTTTTAAGTGTTGTGGGGTTTTGTGTTGTTTGTTTTTGTTTTGTTTTGTTTTGTTTTGTTGTTGTTTTGTTTTGTTTGTTTGTTTTTTTTAAAAAAACAAAACATTTTAATGGTTGTGAAATCTAATAACAAAATAAAGGGGAGGAGGTGGGTGTTTGGGTTCTGTGGGGTTTAAATTTTTATTTATTTATTTATTTATTTATCTTGAATTACCTAATTGTTTGGAGGCCAAGCTTTATTTTTTTGAATGATATTTCTGTCCTTAAAAATCAAGTTCAAATTGCACTGATGTTTTAATGCACTAGGTGGCATAATGATATTCACATTAGAACAAATTAAATGCTTCACCACTACCCAGGTACTTAATCGGATAATAGAAGTCACCCTTTCTGCCAGATAAGAAGTATTATAGTAATCTCTGTAATTATATGAATGCTAGTATTGTTAACCCTCTTCTTTGTCCTTTGCAAGAAGTACTTCAAGTTTTGAAAGAAAAAAGCATTCTTATTTGAAGACAACAATATAAAAAACTGGAGTGATGTTCACATCAAAATACTGGTCGTCCGATTCATGCACTTTCCATTGGTACAGTATGGTCAGAATATCTTGTTGCTTCTAAACAGGTGTACAAGAAGGGTGAAAAGAGAGTACAAAGAAGAGTAAAACTTTATTGTTTACCATCCTTTCTCAGCTCTATAAACACAAACCTGGGCTGTCACCATCTGATAAGATTATTTACAGATGACATAGCATTGTACTGGCCTGCATTGTTTAACCTCCATTAGCACTTGGAGAAACATTAACCCCATTGCAGAGAAAAATTCTTTGTTTCTTTTGATATAGGAAGTAGCCCGTTCTCCCCCACTAGAAATCCAGGCATGCACAGGACCCACATAACATACAGATTCCCAGCAACACAATTTTAGGCAAAGAAGTTGACAAAGTGATAACCAAATACTCTTGTCATAAACCTGTCTGTTCAGTCAGGTGAGTAGGATTAATGTCCAGCCCCTTGTGTTGCAGACTTAGGTTTTGCCAAGATGTGATTTAAGAATTGAAGGTCCAGGTGAAAACTGAACTACTAAAAGCAGTGGTAGAGATTTCAGTTAAAAATCCTTTAAACCCTACTCCAATCCTAATTGTGACAAAGTTTACTCTGAGCAATTTTACTCGTGACCAATATTAAAATAAGTCAAAGACATATGAGTTTGAGAGTTGTCACTTTTTCTAGGACTCCTGTTTTGTCAGCTTTGATACGGGCCATATTAAATGCATGTTGACACTGACAGGAATTGGACCAGGTGAGTTGAATCAATCTTTTCCATTTCTAACTCTATTAATTCCACTATTATAGTGGACATAACGAAAGATCCTTTTAGACTGATTCTGGAGTCAGCCTGAACCAGCATTATGTCAAAAAAATTTTAAGTCATCTTCATTTACTGTAAGCTCAGAGACTTGCTTTTTGCTGCAGATGTTCTGTCATGGTTTGCTTGAATTCTGGGCAGTAAATTACAAGATATGTCAATGTAAAGTGGCAGTGAAATCATTTATCATTAACTTCAAGAGGCCATTATTCAGCTGTAGAAGATGACTGTTTTATGAAATACAAAGGATGAGATCATGATTTAGTGACCAGAAGTGTTCATCTTCCAAAACACAGCAGTATGTCGTGAGAGTGAGAAAGGAATGGAGCCTAAGCAGTTGTTATAATTTTATCTGGATAATGTTTTGATGTTTGCCATCCCAGTCAAAATTGGCTTTTATGAGACCTGCTGCAGATTAGCAGACACATTTTTCTAATGGATAGCTGCTATATCTATCCCAGTCCTTCCTGTGCAATAACAACTCTCACAGGTTACTGCAGTACCACGAGCAGGTGCCCTAGCTCCGTGCGTCAGGAAAGGATTTAAAGAGCTATAAAGCTTTCTGTCTTTTAAGGGTTATTTGAAATATTGGAGTTTCTAAACAAACACTTCAGAGAGTCCAGAAATTATAATTTCCCTAGTTTTTTGACGTAGTCAGTAACGTGTTTATCCATTTTATGAAAATTATCAGCACTTAGAAAGCTTATTTGTGCAAGCAACTGAATAGGATAATGTTATTACTTGGACTAATGTGTTCAGCACAGAAAAAGTGACCACAGTATGGAGCACAGTATCAAACACCACCAAATTATCGATTCCTAGAAGAGGTTAAAGACAGGACTTCTCTATTTTATGACACAGTCAGTAAAGGATGCTGAAGTGCCTACCTTTTCTAGCTGGTGCACCCCTTCCTCTACGCAGCAAATGGATGCTAATGTTCTCAGCGTCTGGGGATAAAGGCACCTGAAACAATCCTGGCGACAGATCTTAAAGAGAGCGACTACACCTCCTTCCTGCAGGGGAAAAACAAAAATCAGAAAAGCAGCACTGAATGTTTCCCTAGTGTTTAAATGAGATTGGGATGGGGGGAAGATTCCTTTAGTAATTTATCCAAATTAGCTATCATCACAACACCAACAAAGAGGATGTTAAGCTCACACAGAGAACTCAAGTTGATTAATGCTTATACACTAAGTGATGAAAAAGTAATACAGCCTCAGCGGGAGGTGTGCTTAAGTGATTTACTTTTAGCAATTACAAGCACAATTTAAATTAAACTTGACATTCCTGCAAAAATTACAAAGAATTATCAATAGGCAGCAACTGGAGTGACATTTAAGTGATAGTTCAACCATACGCTATTAGGTTAAACCAGATTTTTGTTAGCATATATTTCCCACTCCTCTACCTTTCTGAGCTCCATACAATATTTACTTAATTCCAAAATATGAAAGAGAAGGTCATGTGGTTGAAGAGTTACTGAAAATAAGGTGGAAATAGGTGTCAAGTTCTATATAGATACAATCCATATCTTCATCCTCTACTACATAAAATCTACATTCTTACACTTTTTTCATTAAATATGGCAATAATAACAAAGATTTGAGTATAGATACATCCTTACAGTAGCTATCCTTAATCATTTCCAGCACATCTTGTAAACATAATGTGTTAACAAAGTTCATACATTAAACAAAGATGTAAATAAATACAAACAATATATGCACTTCACATGGTGGGGTTTGTTTGGATTGTCCATTTCAAAATTTGATACCATCAGGTAGACTACATATGCCTTATATTATGTAAGAACAGACATATAATGAAGAGGAAAGCATTTACAATATTGATGACAGATGAAAGATCTCAGACTAGAGTATTCAGATTACAGTAATAAATTAAAAAGAGTTGGAATCATGGATCAAATGTAATATACACCCTTCCTTTTATGCCTGTTTCAGTAACCTCTGTATAAAAATATTTTTCAGATTCACAAAAATAATCTTTTGCTCCTCAATCGTTTGTTATTTGAAAGCTTGACAGGTTGTACTGACACAAAACCTCCAGGCCACAATTCAGACTTCACTCATTTTCAGAATTCCACATTTTTGTACTAGTTTTGCTGGAACAGAGAATAATAGAGCAAGCACAGCTATCCGTTCAGTCTAACAAAAATATATACCAATTATAAGACAATTAGAATTGGATAAAATTAACACCTCAATATATTTTCAAGACAGAAGTTTGTTATTACGTCTTCGCACATGTATATGTAATTTCTATGAGATCAGTGAAAACAGTAGGCTTACAGAGGTTTGCTAAGAGTAAAATTTATTTCTGGTATTGTAAGAAGTGCACATGTATCTGTACGAGTTAATTTGTATCTAGGACTGCTATATATAGCCTACTGCAGAAAGACATTTCTGAGCCTTTAAAATAAAAAAGAGGCAGTCCACTAATAAAAAAAGTCCCAGTCATATTTTTCCTTCCACAAAAGGATATTGATATTTTACCCAAATAAAATATAAAAAATATTTTTAAAAGCTATTACAATGTTGTCCCCAAACCTAAGGTAACTTTTATAAAAAATTATTTTATTATCAGTTTGAAAGTCCTCACAGTTCAGTGGGATTGGAGATTATCTGATTCTGTGCTTTAGTCATAATAAGCAGAAGTTTGTGGACAACACTAGTAAAGTTCAAGTGATGTGGGCACATTTGCTTCAAGCTTTCTGTACAGCAAATGGTATGACAAATGCTTTTGCCTCTGATGGACAGACAGTGATTTATCACTGCATTTGTCAAGAGGAGATCTAAACTGTTTATTTTGTGCCCTGTGTGCCATTACCAAGCTGTAAAATATTGAACATGAGTAATGACCCTAGAGAGCTGTAAGTGAAATATGGAATAGGTGGGAAGTACTGAGTCTGATTCTATGGCTTGTCAGAAACACTCCCCTCACTGGGATCTCAGCATTCCTTAGGATTCATTCACCTTTTTCAAGCTTTGTTCCCTGTATATCTTTTGCATTGATGACAAGGATACACATAAATTGGTCAAACGGGTAAACAATACCATTCAGACAAAGAAACATAACATCACTGAGCTTTGCTTGCTTTGGAGATTAACTTGCACCTTTCCAAAATTTCCTGATATACTAAAGTATGCTTTTATTTATCCTTTGCATACTTTTTGGCATTTCCACTTTTTGACCAAATGACACATGAAATGGTACACTTGATGGAATTCAAGTTTCATCTGGGACAGGCTTCACATACTCTGTGAAGCAGTATCTGAAAGAGAGGAGAACTTGCTTTACTGCTCAGTGACCTACTTCTCTCCTATACTGGATTAACAGGAATTCAATTTCACGGAGACATCCCTGAGATGCTGTTCAGAAGGGCTACCAGTAGATAACAAAACCACCTGAAGTACAATCACACAAAGTATGTGAAGGTGGGCATGAGTACAAAAATCCCCATTGTGTATAGTGAGTTGAGTGAATAAAGGGGGGAGAGAAAAGGCATCCAACTCTGAGGTGTAGTGTTTTGCAGTTTCAGCCTGAAATGGCCCAAAGTGCAGTGAATTCTCATCAAGCCTTTCCTTATGGTTTAGGACATTTATACTTAGCTTGAAAGATGATCTCCAAATAAATCTTCATAGTAAATACTTGCTAGAAAAGTAACTGACATACGAAGAAGGTAAGGCCAAGATATATTAGGAGCTTCTCTGAGCAAATGATTTGCTGCACATCCATATGGAACGCAAATACTCAAGCATTCTCTAAAGAAGGGTGTGATAAGAAGATGTAGCTATCTTCATTATCTTCATTTTTTCCATTTAGTTCAATACAGTTGGCATTAGACTCTACCATCAATTAAACTGATATATTTATAAAGACTTTATCACTCTATGTCCCATCATTTAATTATTGTAACTCTGGAAATTATTTTTACTCATTCTTCTAGTTGTTATGAAGCCAAATCAATTTAGAACCAGTGTACTTCAAGTAATGTTAATTTTTGACACTTGCTCAAGTCCACTCAAAATTTATCATTTCTGGGTTTTAGTGTCTCCTTATACTCTTGGAACATGAAGGTACATGGTGCCACCAGTGTAGCTGCTTGTAGATGAACACTGCATATTACAGTTCGAAACTCACAGCTCAACATTGGTTATTCTATTAGCTCAGAATTCAAGGATTTTTATTATATTGTTATTTATTGTTATTATTTAGGCTTTCTCCCTTCATTTTTTACCTTGCCCTTGCTACTACTTATTTATGTTAGAGATCTTAGTCTTTATATTTCTGACAGCTAGTGAAAACTAGCTGACTGCCAGGGTGAGTCAGCAACATGACTGTCACAGTAGATTACAAACTGACATGCTAAAGAAAAAAAATAGTTGAAGAATGTCTCCAGGTGGAATAAAACTATAGGTGACACTTCTGCATAGGGAGTTAGCATTTCAAAGGCTTTTTAAATTTTAGTAAAATATTGCTAGGGGAAGAGAACTGAAATCCTTACCACAATGTAAAGTGAGAAACCAGTTCCTATAATACCATAGCTTTACAATATCATCATGGCTCTTTGTTTGCATGTCCAAGATTTTGGTGTGCATTAGAATTGTAATTTATAGCTTGGGACAGGAAAAAAGCTAACAGTGTTCCACAAGACCACACACTGTCATGGAGAGTAAGATTTCAAGGTTACATGAACAGATTTGTTCAGTTTTGCTTTAACTCTAGCAAATATTCTACTTCTCTGACTAGTTTTTACTGTAGATATGACAACTCTCAAGTGAACTTCCGTATCTGTGGGAGGTTTAGAGATCCTTGCAAAACTTGAATCCATTCTCACCCTCCTAATAAGTGGGCACAGTTCTAGATTTATTTTTTTAGGGGTTTGTGGGTTTGTTTTTTTATTTGTTTTGTTGGTTGGTTGTTTTTTTTTGTTTGTGGTTTGTTTTTTTTTTTTTCAAATCACCCTGCACTTCCCCTGTCATAGCTAACTAAAGTGACTGAACTCAAAATTCTGTTCTGTTACTATTCCTGTGCTACCTTGCTCACTGATGCAGCTAACTGAGGCAATACAGAGGGTGAAGGATGATGGTAAGTCGGGACCAGTGTAATTCATAGTGCACAGGGGAAAGAGACACACAGAACAGGTGATGCAATCACTGCTGTAATTTGGCAGCCAAACACCACTTAGGGTTCTTTGCATAAGGGAATGCATTTCCTCGCTTGTAAACCTGTGACACATCCAGGTTTTAGCAATAAATTAATTTAATGATTTATGAAAGGTCAGACTTCACTTCTGCTAAATTAAACCGTTATGGAATTCACACAATGATAAAAAGCACAAGACCAATTTCCTCAATTTGTTAGTTCCGCATTTCCTCAATACTCAACATTTTATCATTGTTTTTGGATACCACTGAGTGGAGCTCAAATACCAATTTAGGAAAAATTAAACCTCTCAGGCTGTTGCCAGGATCCACTACACATTTCTAAGTCTACCTCATTCACAGTCTTCAGAACATAGCAGTAACTCTTGTGGTGCAAACATCCCTCTAAAAAAATGATCAGAAGTAAAATGAATTAAATGCTGCTGTTTAACCTCACCTCTGAGCAAGACAAAGGATTGGTACACCAGTCCACAAGCAGAAGTTTGGGAAGCAAGATTTTCTTCTTTCTATATACACTGTGGTTATAATTATCCTACCCTTGACCTCACACAGTGCCCTGCCTTTCTTACTTTCAAGATCCAAGTGTCCTCAGAGGTGCAAACTCTGCAGGGATTGCCGATATCATTGATCTTGGCAAAATGATTAATTTATACCAAAAGTTAGGATCAGCTACTCAGTAAATGAGAACACACGCTGCTAGAAGTAGCTGTAATGATATTCAGCTGTAAAAGGAAAATAATGGATGCAAAGTATTTCTAAAATCAAATCTTTAATAATATCTCTAACCTCCTTTCTACACAGAGCTAAAGAGGTCTCGCTGTTTCTCTACACAGCCATATGCATGACCAATTGCAAAGTTTCTCTCCACTTATGTTGCTAGTACTTAAAAAGTTCTGTCAGGAGAGACACTAAAAGATGTCCAAGCTGCCAAAGGGAGTGAGTAATTCCTCAGGTGGAACAAAGACAACCATAGCTGAATCAATGCCCAGAAGTCTGTTGGAGTTTACCATCCTACTGCAGTTGCTTGCACAGGCATTGAGCTGTATTAAGTTAAAGATTGGGGGATTTGAAGCCCCCACACACACACACTTTTTTTTTTCCTTATTTTTAAAACTGGTAGTATAATTGTGGTAATAAACTACATAGTAAGGCCTGCAAGAGCAGCAAAATAAGGAAAGAAAGTCTCTTGGTAAATTTTGTTGTTCTTCAACCTAGATTGTTTGTTTCCAAAAATACATAATTGCATCTTGTACATTTCGAAACTCACAGCAACTACTGTGTTAATTAAAATAACTCACATCTATTACTAGTTTATTTTGAATTAAACCATATATCCCCTTACCTTAGCTATGATACGGCACAGCTGAGCACCTTCCTGGGTAAGGCTGAATAAACTACTAATTGCCGACTCAGTGATGTACAGACTATCCGACAATTCTATTTGTCTCAGCAGGTTCTGTGTGACATAAGATAATAAGCATAGTTTACTTCCAATGAAAAAAGTTAACATTGTATTTAAAGATAAAATGGAATAGAAAGTCTAGTTCATTTAATCCATATCAACTTGCTTCTCACCCAGAGAAAAGAAAAAAAAAACATGGGCAGGAGTCAGACTGATAACACCAACACCTTTATCATTGCTTCTGAATAGGTGTAACCAAGAATAGCGATATTTAAAAATAAATATGAATAGAGTAAGAGAACAGGTATGTGTGTGAGAACATTCAATAAAGAACTCTTCAGCTATTTAGTAAGATATTATTAGGTTTGGCCTGGGATTGAACTAAGATTTTCAGAAGACAACTAACTGTCTCAGTGTAGAAGCTGTATCACAAGGTGATACAAGATTTCTACCTTATTTATAAGGAATATTGCTATACCCTTTCTAACACTCTGGTTTCATCACTCAGTCTACACAGAAAATGTCATTGACCAATACAGGGAATTCTCACAGAGAAATATTGTTTATTTTTATCTTTGCAAACAGTTATCTTGCTTTTGCATGTGTGCCATTGCAGCTTCACAGAGAAACACAGCTGTTGGAAGAACATGAAGTTTAGTTAATTTTCTGAAAGTACATAGACTCATTAGAGGAAGAATTAATTATCTTTGCTAGAAGAAAGAAGGTAAGCATTTTTATATTTAATCCAACTTTGAAAGAAGTGCAAGGAAATATCCAACATTTTACATTGTTAATTATACAAATTTCAATTAGCTTCTCATTAAGAGACTGTGTTCTCCCACCTTTAGCATTAGAAAAATGTTCCATAAAAGACACAACCTATCAGTTCACATTTTGATATGAGCCTATGCTGAATATAATCCTAATACACTGGTCAGAAAAGACTTCTGGCCTCTCACACAGACACTTAGTCTGCTCCAGAGCAGCAAACTACCCACAGACAGTGCAGTTATATAGCAGAAGTGGGCACACAGCCTGACTGAATGGCCCAGAAAACTGTTCTTAAAAAATGTTTTTATTATTGACATCTAAACCTCCAGTCACACAAATGCACACGAGATGGAGCAGAGTAATTAATTCTGTTCCCCTAAAAGAAAAAGGGACTAGGATTCCAGGTGTGTCAGTAGGTGCCAAAGTGCCCAGACAGAATGATTAGTAATGACTGCTTTTCAGATTAAAAATAAATAAGCATCAAAACAACCACGACCTACTCACTGGATTTGCAATATGCAAATTTATTTACACACTTCTAGTCATATGTAGCATTTCATTTAGTTCTCATAAATCCTAACCAAAGCACATTAGCAAGTAGCTTGTTAGTTTGACTGTAGTTCTGCAAATGAGTTCTGGAGATTCTCACTTCCTAGCAGTAATCCTTCAAAAATATAGGGATGTTTCTGAAAGAGCCACATTTTTTTTTTTTTTTTCTATCTTAATGCATCAAGGTACATTATAATTTAACCAATATCATGCATCAATTTTGTTTTAGCACCATAGTAAATACTATTTAACTATTTCCTCTTCACTAAGCCTCTCATTTCCCCTTTTTTTCTGTAGGCATAACAAAATTCCATCATATCTTCACCTATAAAATATGGACAAATTAGTTGAGCATAATTACATGTGAGGTTTTTTATTTGAGGAAGATAAGAGGCTGCAAAGGGATTGCTAATGTGATCTCAAGAAAGAAACCAATGTAAACCAAGATAGATTGGTTAGACTTGCAAGTTACTACTGTTTCAAGAATGGTCTAATGGAAAATATTTAATGCCTTCGTGGTCTCAGGCTAATTAACTCAGTATATTTATCTACATTTAATCACCACTGGAAACTATATATCATGCCTGCAATGATACAGCACTGTTTCTAGAAGGTTACACATACACATACGTATGACCTGTAGAGAACACTGTATTTTATCACTAATTCCTAGAGTGTGAGATAGTCACTGATTAAAATGTGTGCTGTAATAATATACTTGCTATATGTGTATCTTCTACAAAGTTTAACTGTTAATGAGAAACACTGAGAGCAGGAGAGACTTTTTTCAAGGCTTAAAAAAAAAAAAATAAAAATAAATAAATAAAAAAATCAGTGTCTACATGAAAGGAATAGAAAATGATAAAATGTGTCCAAAGGTCCTATTAACAAGACTTTGTCCAGAAATTAGATGCCTTGCAATGAACCAGGCCTATCGGAAAGGTAAGTAATATATTGAGCCACAAGATCGTTGTGTTTGGGATTTGAGGTTATTGGAGAGTTTGAGAATACAAACACCTAAATCTCTTTGCAAGATATTTGAATTACTGATCAAATTTGATGAAAATTGAGAGCTGTAATTATAACCCTCCTCTTAATGGATGCTTTCTCTCAAAATGAAAGAATTTTGAAAGTTGTTTTTGTTTTCAAACAGTAAATTTACCTGTGCCTCATGTGTTAAAACCAGCTCTATTAACTGGCCAAAATACTGAGCAACAGTAGTGAGTGTGTCATTAATACAAGATTTCATGGACTTCAGTAACTGTTCATCTTCCGTATGTATGCATCTGAAAAGCAAGAGAAAGGAAAGGGATGAAGGCAGAAAGATGCAACAGACTATTCTTTTATCAAGCTGATTGTCACAGGTAATAATGGGGATGTAATGGGAATTCAACTGTTCACAGGAGGACACTATCTGTGCCATTAGCATCACACCAGACTTTACTCAAAGATTTCTCTACACATAGTAAGTATAACATCAAAGGACAACAGTGAACAGTAATCAATAATTTTGGGATCACAATTTACTTCACAGACTACAGGCCAGATTTTGCTGTAGATGCTGTATTTTATATCAGTGTAACTCTGCTATTTTCCGCTTATAGTCACAGTCACTCTAGGATGCCTGCATTTCAACTGCAGCCTTGTATATCCATCTGTCTTTCATGATCAAATTGATTTAGATAATTTTCATTTCTTTACCTTCTTTGCCATAGTTTAATGATAGCAGGGTAAGGACCAAGAATGAATGTGTGCCCAGCTGAGTAAAATTCATTTAAACTTAAACAGCATACTCAGAAGTAAAATTTGGCCTTTATGCAGAGAGGTTACATACAGCAGCTTTACAGACTTAGTATAACTATCCTGTAAGCAGTGATATTTGGCTGTAACTGAAGAAGTGAGATAAAGATGAAAAACTTTATACAATTCAAATTACATAACTAATACTTCCTCACAGAAATACATACATTTGAATTGTCAAAACATATTCCACTCAGGCAAGCCACCATAATGGAATATATAGTTTGGCTGATCATTGTCTCCATCTACACAATAGGTCCCCTTTTCAGCTTTACCTGTCTTTCACCCATCTATATCAAATTTTTGTCTGACAGACAGGGAGGAAGAGGGCTGACTTGGGGCAGACACTAGGAGATCTGAGCTCTCATTAAATCAGTGTCTCTCATAGTAGACTATAAAAGTAAAGTCTGAGCTGTGTGGGTTTGGCAAAAAGCAATAGCGCTCAAGAAATGTTCTTTCCTGATAATTAGATGTTTTTTTTTCCCTGATGATCCCCTGAGCAGTATGACTTGCACAGTGTTTAAAGTAAATCGAAGACGACTGATTAAAATGTGCTGGAGGAAACATGATAACGTTAGACAGGGGAAATATCATGAGAAGAATTATAAAGAGATTCTTATTTTCCAGTCTCAGCATTCTGGAGTGCACAAAGCTGAGAAAACCTACAACTGCAGTTTAAAGAAATGTGTATTTATTTGGTTTTGATTAACTAGTACGTGGATACGTGCGTACAGGAACATGTAGTACAACAGTCTCACAACGTTTTCACACCACCTGAAATCTTGGCTCCACACAACTTGAAAGGAACTTTGCCACTGATATTAGAGCCAGACTTTCTCCCTTGATGTCTAAAAGCCATGAAAAATCCACTTGCACGCAGATTTGTGTCTATGCCAGGCTCTTTGTGTAACAGCAGATCCCATCTTTCATTAGGATGTAGTTTAGATAAAAGCAACTCACTTCACTCACCAGAAGCTAACATTTTGAAAGCCTTTCAGAGCTGTGGGGTTCTAGTTCAAACATTTGAGGGTGTTAGTAGATTTGTACTTCTCATTAGAAATTCTACAATATAGTAAAACAGAAAAGTGAATATTTCAACTAGAAAATTAAAGTTACCTTTCTGTGAATGCTGTAAATTCTGAACACTTGTCTATTAAAAGTTTTTCAAACTGCAGAAAGAGAGATAAAGTGGTTTTAAAGCAACATCCATATGCACAATTTAAAAAAAAAAAAAAAGTTTGTTTATGATAATTAGGTGAAAACCCTCCAGAAACATAATATTTCATATGGACACCTTTTTTCTGCTTTTCTGCATAAACCAAGTAGAGATAAAACTGAAGTTCACAAAATGTAGTATTTTTTACATTATAAATGCAAAGGAACTCACAGGTGGGGCATCTTACTTTAGTCCAGTTCTTAAAACCAACATTTTTTTTTTCCAGCGTAATTTGTCAACATTATTAACATTCAGAATCAGGTTTATGATAAAATAGGGTCCAAAATAAGTCAAGAATGTTCCCATAGCTGAAAAGGGATAAGAAACTCTTAAAGATGGGATCAGTATCAGTATGAAAGGATTTCTTACAGATTGTTTAAAGTAAGTTTTTACAATAAAAAAATGAAACAAGGCAAACATGACATCAGATAATGCATCTTACCTGGTGCATTTCTTCTGAAGAATTCCTGGTGAATGTATTGTATTCATTTATCATTGAACGTACATGGCAGTTGACTCTCACGGTCATGCTGTGGACTCTCTGCCATCTATTCTTCTCCAGCTTTTGAGCAATCCTGGTCAACTCCGTGCTTATGATCCAAGCTCTTTTTAATAGCAGCTGTAAGTTATCACATGTGCTATATTGTGAGGAAAGGATAAGTTCATTTTGTTCATCCTTCTCAATGCTGATTGGCTTGGACTGGAGAATACACATACATTCACAGTCTGTCATCAACTTCAAATCTTCCATCCATCGCTGAACGGAGTCCACCTGAATTAAATGCATGCTAGAAGGCAGAAAAAGAGAAGGAAGAATGAAGTAAAGCAAAACAACCCTAGAATAACCACCAGCAATACAATACAGTTGCACCCACCTACGAGGTTGCAGTTGATTGACCAAAGGCAACTAACTGAATAAACGATTCGTTTGTAGTAACACATCAGCATGCTTAGGTTTCTATTCCAAACACAGGTTTTGGGTTTCTAATCACCTTTACACCACATACTTTGCTATAAAATTATTTGGGAAAAATCAGTAGAGGTTAGAGATAGGTAAACAGGAGAAGTTTAGACTACACGTTTGGGGGGAAATGTTTTTTGTACACTTGAGATTAATAAAATGCAGGTGCAAAGTTATGGGTGGGTTGTTGTTTATGGGACTGCACTGTCAGCTTTTTCTAGACACTTTGCCTATTAGACACTTAACAGAAAAAGTTTTACCTTGCAGCATCTCTCCAAAGCCCTTCCACCCGCACTGACACAGCCAAACCAAGACAGCCAACGATACCATCAGGAGTATCCATTTCTGCTATATCACAATCCCTTAAACCTCAGCTGGATTCTACTTCCAGAATGGTCCTTTACCTTCCCCCTTATTTCTCACTGCTCTCTCTACAATTTGCACATCTGACTCCCAAAGCACATTTTCGCACTGCAGCAAATATGCTGTGAACCAGTGAAGCTGGAAGAAACTCCTTGATGAGTAAACCCTCACACAAGTGCAACAGACCTGCATTTTGTGCCTTTGCCCGCTCCAGCTAGTGAAACATGGTACCCAAGGGAGCAGCTGCACTGAGCTGTTCTGAGCTCATCTTTGTGAGGGATCTCAAGTTTCCCAGAGCCTTAGGGTAGAGGTGTCTAGAGTTTCTTCTTAGAGTGAGGTGCCCAATCCTAATAAAAAACCCACTTTAATCCTCACCCCAACCATACACACATTCAGAGCCACGTTTTATTAGACATGACTAGTGTCTTTAACAAATCTAACAGTATATACAGGTCAGGTATAGGACCCTAGGTCAGACAGAGCAAAGTTCACAAAACTGCAATCATCCTTCTCTACTTTGTCTTTGCAGACAGACTATGGTTTCTGGTTTTGTTTCATTTACCTCAGGAAATTCTTCATTGGCAGCACCCTGATCCTTTTGACTCACTGGAAATTTGCTCCCTCTCTCCGTGGCCTGCCTGGCACTTTGCTGCCTGCTGCATTCTCTCAGACCATCTGGACAAAATGCAGGCTCTCACCTTTTTATTCTGACTCTTGCCTACCACACCTAAGGCTAGTCCTCTGTTTTTCTTTGCAGGGGGGAAGCACCTCAAGGAAGGAGCATCGCCTCTGCCAAGGGGTCCAATCTTACCCTTGTTTCCAATCCAAGGACAGAACAGACACTGCCCATCTCCAGAAATCATCTGTCCAAAATTTTTTCAGATTTAATAGTAGGTCCAGATTATTTCAGTTTACATTTCACCTCCCCAATCCTCTCACAGGAGAGCAATTCCTCTGGTAAATACACACATAAATATATGTATATATTAAAAACAAAACAAAACAAAAAAACACAAAACAAACAAACAAACAAAAAAAACCCCAACCAAATATTTTTACTATCAATAGTAGAGATATAATAAGTATATACACAAATATATATATAGAAAAAAATCTAAGGGACAATTACATAGAGCTAAAGGAAAAAAGACAAGAGTTATTGTTAAAATGCAAGCCATAATGTATTTTCAAAGTAGTTAAGTTTTCCTTTATGCAAAAAGCCTAAAAGAGTCTCAGTGATGGTTGCTGAAATTAAGCGTGGTTGCAATAGTAAAGATGGACTTTATCAATGTCTGTTCCTTACTAGGCCCATTATATCCCCTCTCAACACAACATCATTCACTGGAAATAAAGCAGAGCAGGAGGCCAAAAGTTCAGAGAATCACTGCAGGTCTCTGTGGCATAGGAGACATTATTATATATCTAAATGGTTTCTGCAGAATTTATAAACACAGGCATGACCAACAAGTGTAATATTCATGTAGAAAATACAGTTCCAACATGGGCACTTTACTCAGCAAAAATTTCATATTTCTCATCTACAATGAATCAAATAATTTTTCTGACAGTTTCCATCAGCTGAAGACTCAGTCTTAATTTTTAGCAAGTTTTCTTAACATGAAATACTTAAAAAGTTTAGTATGTCTTCCTCTAGAGGAAGATGGATTTATACTAAAAGTTTCCAAAGAAGTAAAGATGAAGGGTAAAGAAGAAATTAAATTAAGTGAAAGCAAGAAAGCCTGGACTTAATTAGTTTTTGCAAACTTCTATTGGTATTCTACAGCTAGTCTGACAGTGTAGTGGATTGTTGTCACCCTTCTGGATACAGTTTTATAAGGTGCTGTACCAGAAAAGACAAAAAGAAACTTTCTATTATAGCCCCCTCTTTTAATTCAGATGCTGATTTATTGCAGCTTAGCATCACAGTAGTGATGCTTTGTGCTGTTATATAAAGCCTTACTGTTAGAACAAAATCTGCAATTACAATAGCCAAGCTAAGGATGACCAGGCGGAAGGCCTTTTTAATTCCTGTGCTTCCATTTATACACTGAGCACCAGCTGAACTCAAGAAATCTCCTTCCAGACTAATGAGCTAATATTCCACATATGATCAAAATTTATTAACATACATATGAAAAGGAGGTTCACCTCGAGGATGACGTCATATAAATCAACAGCAAACAAGAAACAAGAAATAATTTTCACTGATCCAATACCCCTTTTTACCATATACAGTGAAACTACTTTTAATTTTAAAGCTTACAGGCTACTGCTATTTAAGGTCTTTATTTCACTCAGCTTTGAATATTGTGTAATTGCATTTCATGATCGATTGTGGCTCACTTTCTTCATGTTATGTGTAGTCTCCTTATTGCCTTTTTGGATCTGAAGCAAGATTTCCCAATAAACAAAAATAACAACTTTAGAAATTTGAGACCATGATTTATAACAATATGCAAATAACAGTTTGCATGCAATATGGGATAAACTCATTTGACACCAAGTAATGTATTTTTCATTTCTAAAGTGCACTATGATAATTAATTAAATCTCTGTTTAGTAAGTACAAATAAACTCCTACATTATAAATTCATATAGAAAAAACATAGAATAGAATGCTAGTCAGAAAACATTAAAAAAATAATTCATATTTACTTTAATCCCCAAAACCAGTCTTACCACTCTGAAAAGAAAAGGATGATAGAGTAGTATGAAAAACCACTCTATCATCAGATATTGCTGATATATTAGGTACAGATGTTAAAGAAACTCTCCTTGTTTGCCTCTGTTCCTACTAGTTGTCAGAAATACAACCACAGAATGTAGGTTATTCTGTCATTGAAACTCAGTATTCCTTAACTGACAACCATGGCAAAAATAATACTATTCAACTCCTTTCAGACAGAACCACCACAAAAAACTCCTCCTGTTCATTGTCATTTTTTCTGACACATTATTCTTTAAAATACACATATAACATGATTACTCATGTGAAATACATAAATGATTCACCTTCGTCCACATCTCCCTGTATTTAGATAAATTCTTCCTAAGCACTTAGCAGATGAATTTGTAGACTAATTTTTGTATATTAAAATAAAGAAAGCAAAAAGTGCGATCATTCCTAATTAGCTATTAAGAATCATATTCCAGATTGCATTTACTGAACTCCAAAAACAAGTTGAAAATTTCCATTTTGTCTTCCCATTACTGAAAAAAAAAAAAAAAAAAATCTACGCCTACTAAATAAAAACAGTCATAATGGGCAAGACCAAAAAAATCTGTCTAGCCCATTATCCTGCTCCCAATGGCCATTAGGAAATACCTAAGGAAAGATTATAAGAGGCATAGCAAGAGCTGAGCAAACCCTCCTTCCCCTCTTCTGGCAATTAGTGGTTTAGGAACTTCCTAAGCCAGAAGTTGTATCTGAGCAGGATGTTTTAACAGTCCATGAAACAAAAGTAACCATTAATCCCTTTTTGAACTCAGTTAAACTTTTGGCCTTTACAGCATCTCATGGCAGTGTCTCACGTTGTTTGATCATTTTTGTATGAAAAAATGTTTCTTATTGTTTGTTCTAACTTGCTGCCTGGAGGTATTAACACAAGCTCTTTAGTTCTTGTATTCTACAAGATACTGAAAAGATTCCGCATTCACCCTCTTCGTGTAATGCATTATTTTATTTGCTCTACCCTATTTTTCTCAGTTATCTCACTTCCAAGGTAGAGAAACTCCATCTATCTAGTCAGTCACCATACAGAAGTGATTCCACTCCTCTGATCATCCACTTACTCTCCCTACCTTTTCAAAAAGCCTTTTCCAGTTTTCCTATGTCCTAAGATGCAATGGCAAGATCAGCATGCGATATCCAAGATTTGGGTAAATTATGGATTTATACATTTGAATTACATTTTCTGCACTATCTCCATTTTCCAAGAATTCCCCAAATTAAATTTCTCTTTTACTTGTTTTGCAGTGGGCTGGTTTATTTTTACCTTCCAGAAAATCTACTTATTTTCATATCAGAATATTTTCCATGAGTGATAATACATAATTTAGAGTTTGCTGTTCTATATGTATGATGAAAGAGATTGTTCTTCAGTTCCCTTCCCCTCCTCACATGCACTACTTCATGTTCACAAACATATAATTTTTTCCGGCATTTTACATTGCAATGACTCAGTATTGTGAGACTTTTTGTGTTTGCACATTATTTTAAAATAACCAGAACAGTTTTGCATCAGCAGGAAGTGTTGTTGTCCTGCTCTTATAAATATTTTTCAGGTTGTTAAATACATTCAGCAAGATTGGTTTGAGCATAAGGGTCCTGACTGGTATGATTTTCCCCAGTTCTGTTTAATTGAGCAACAGTAGCTGGGTAGCTGGCAGACATCCTGATGTATATAGACAGTAGTTCCCCACCAGTTAGAATTTCTGAATTTAGTATGTCATGGCATATTGACA